GGGCAGGGATGGACAGGGATGAACAGGGATGGACAGGGATGGGCAGGAATGGAGCAGGGATGGACAGGGAAGGGGCTGTGCCATCCCAGGGGTGGGGGATGGACCAAGATGGAGCAGGGATGGACAGGGATGGGCAGGGATGGGTAGGGAAGGGGTTGAGCCATCTTGGGGCTACGGGATGGGAAGGGAAAAGGATGTGCCCTTCCAGGGGTGCAGGATGGACAGGGACGGGCAGGGAAGGGGATGTGCCATCCCGGGGGTGGGGGATGGACAGGGATGGGCAGGGATGGACAAGGAAGGGAAGGGGCTGAGCCATCCCGGGGCTGCTCGGGGGTGCGGGATGGACAGGGATGGGGCAGGGCAGGGAAGGGGCTGTGCCCTTCTGGGGGTGCGGGATGGGAAGGGATTGAAAGGGATAGACAGGGATGGGGTTGTGCCTTCCCGGGGCTGCGGGATGGACAAGGATGGGCAGGGAAGGGGTTGTGCCCTCCCTGGGATGTGGGATGGACAGGGATGGGCAGGGAAGGGAAGGGGCTGTGCCCTCCCGGGGCTGCTCCGAGGCGGAGCCAGCGGTGCCCCCGGCACCACCCAGGGTGGGCTCCAAGTGCCCTCCCAGAGGTGCCAGCAGGTCCAGCCCCAGCGGGGTCCTCCGGGATCCGAGAGGAAAGGTGAGGGAGGGCCGATCCCAGCGGGAATGGAGGCTCTGGGTGCCGGCCGACCCCAGGATGAGGGGGCGAGGGGAGAGCCCAGCCCACCCGGGGCAGGGAAAGGGGGCACCGGGACCACCCAGCGCCGCTGTGGGGACGTTCCCGGGGTGGACAGGGACAGTGACAGTGTCCCTGTGTCCCTGTGCTGGGGGCCACATGGAGCGAGGAGGGCCCGGCGGAGGCCGGGGGAGGAAGGAGGGAGGAAGGAGGGATCCCGCGGGCTCGGAGGAGGGAACGAGCCCCGGGCTGCTCCTCAAAATCCTCCTCGCGAGGTCTGTGGGGCCTCAGAACCTCCCCGGGCTCAGTGAAACCCCCCCGGGCAGGGAATTCCCGCCTGGAATACCCGAAGGGCTCCGTGGGGGCAGGGGGGGCACCTCCAGTGCTGAGGGGTGCTGGTCCAGCTTTGTGTTCCTTTGGTGAGCCTCGGGGTCTTCCCAAGTGCCTGGGAATTGCCCCTGGATGGAAACAGTCCCAGGGACTGAATTCCTCAATCCCTTAATCCCTGAATCCCTGAATCCTGAGTTCCTGAATCCCTGAATCCCTGAATCCTGAGTCCCTGAATCCCTGAATCCTGAGTTCCTGAATCCCTTAATCCCTGAGTCCCTGAATCCCTGAATCCTGAGTTCCTGAATCCCTGAATTCCTGAATCCCTTAATCCCTGAATTCCTCAATCCCTGAATCCTGAGTTCCTGAATCCCTGAATTCCTGAATCCCTTAATCCCTGAATTCCTCAATCCCTGAATCCCTGAATTCCTGAATCCCTGAATCCAGAATTCCTGAATCCTGAATCCTCGACTCCCTGAATTCCTCAATCCCTGAATCCTTGAATCCTGAATCCCTGAATCCTGAGTTCCTGAATCCCCGAATCCCGAATCCCTGAATCCCAAATCCCTCAATTCCTGAATTCCTTAATCCCTGAATCCTGAATCCCAAATCCCTGAATCCCTGAATTCCTGAATCCCTGAATCCCCGAATCCTTGAATCCCTGAATCCCTGATTCCTCAATCCCTGAATCCTGAATCCCTGAATTCCTTAATCCCCAAATCCCTGAATCCTGAATTCCCGAATCCATCGGGGACTCTTGGAGGGATCTTGGAGGGCTTTTCCAACCTCAGTGACGCCGGAATTCCGGGATCTGCAGCCGGGGATGGACACTGAGAGCCCACAGGCCCCAAACCCTCCCCCTCTGTGGGTGACAGGAGAGTTTTCCCAGCCTGGAAATTTATCTTGTGGATAAATTTATCGGGAGGGTTCATGGCACCCACTGTGAATTACCCTAAATCACTCTAAATTACCCTAAATCACTCTAAATCACTCCAAATCGCTCTGAATTGCTCTAATTTACTCTGAATTGCTCCAGAGGCCCTGGTTTGCAGGCAGGTCTGTGGCCTCTGTCACTCGGTCCCCACCCCACAGGGAGGGTGAAATCCCGCTGGAATTGTGGGGACATCCAGGCCCTGGAACCCACTGGAAATCCCGTGGGAAGGGATGAAGGGGCAGAGGGAAGGAGGAGGAGGGTCCTGGGATGGGCACGGGCCCCTCCTGAGGGCCGTGGAGCTTCCAGGGCTGGATCAAAGCAGGACCTCGTGTTCCCAAATCAGGGGCTCTCCGTGGAATCCCAGGCTCGCTGAGGCTGGAAAAGCCCTCCCAGACCCCCCAGCCCGAATGTTCCCCCAGCCCTGCCAAGCCCAGCGTTGAAAGAATCCCCTAAATAACCACGTGGGCCCATCCTGGGGGGGCAAATCCCAACACACCCCTGGAATCAGCCACCTCTTTAACCCCATTCCCACATCAGGTGCTGCTGCAGCTGCAAATCCTCCCCCTCCACAGGGCTGGGCAATTTTGGGCTGTTTGGGCTGTGGTTTGTGTGTGTTTGGGCTGTGATTTGGGCTGTGATAGTTCTGTTTGAGGTTGTGTTTGGGGCTGTGATTTGTCTGTGATTTGTCTATGCTTGGAGTTGTGATTTGTCTGTGTTTGGGGCTGATTTGTCTGTGTTTGGGACTGTGATTTGTCCGTGATTTGTCTGTGTTTGGGGCTGTGATTTGTCTGTTTGGGCTGTGATTTGTCTGTGATTGTTCTGTGTTTGGGGCTGTGATTTGTCTGTTTGGGCTGTGATTTGTTCTGTGTTTGGGGCGGTGATTGTTCTGTGTTGGGGCTGTGATTTGTCTGTGATTTGTCTGTGTTTGGGCTG